ACGACAAAGAAAGGTGGGAAAAGGAAGGAATTTCCAGGGTCTGAATGTAACCTTTTGCTCATTATGCCCTCATCTCAATAAAATTAGCCTTGCAGATTAGAAGTACCCATCATGCACTGATGCCATGACACTTCTGATCCAGACTAAATAAGGACAAAAATCCCTCCTCCCTTTGGGAAGGTGGAGTTGGGATGATAATCAGGGAATATGACCCCAAACTCCTCCCTCCCCAATGAATATTCCGCCCATTCATTTTTACACCCTATGTAACTCACTTGCCAGAGAAACACAGGGCAGCCGCTCACCTGAGCCTGCCTGCTCTCCGCTTGAGAGTGTACTATCCATCCTTTAATAAATTCTCACTTTACTTTTTTAACCACTACGTCTTGTGTCTGATTCTTTCTGGGACGGGACAAGAACGTGAAACACCGGTTGCATCCACCGGCAACATAACTAGGTGTTTAGCCATGCTTTAAGCCTTTTGTCATTTATAGACAGTTACTGTTTTACTCTGATGCCTTTGCAAAATGCTTTCTCTTCAAGGAGATTTACTGGTTTCTCATAAGTTTCAGATTATAGCACTGAACTGGGCAAGAAATTTGAAGTCTGATGGAGACTCTGATTTCATAAAACTGTTAACAACAACCAAAAAAGGATTAGTTCCATGAGACTGAGTAAACTGATGAATACAGTTATAATTTTGATTTTGTCTGAAATATTATTGGCTTTTAGTCTGTTTCCCAGATATAAAGAAACCCTTCTCCTTGAGCTAATTATGACTCAGCAATTTGATGAATTATACTTATGTAAGCAGACTTGGAACAGTTATCTTTTCTATCTGATCCATCCAGAGACTGGAAACTCTTAGGTCCCCAGTGGCTCTATCAGATAAATAAGGAAAATCACCTCCTAACAGGTATAGGAATCTCAAGGTATTTTGAGGAACTTCAAAAGAAAAGAATTCACCTAAATATGTAAAGCAAAATCTGTGACAAGCCCTTAACAAGGCTTACCTGGCCTTAGGAGACCTTACTAAAAATTCATCTTGAGTTCTGGCACAGACAGTTTAAAAGAGCCTATATGATCAAATAATCAGACTTAATTTGCAGATAAATTAATCTTGATTTGACTATATTTGATAAAAATGAGGGTAACGTTAGAGAGAAAAAGATTGTATTTCAGTGGATATTAAATTCTAGTTTTGTTAATTGAGGTCTATTTACTAAGACTCACCAGATCATTCCTTGCTGTTATGTTATATTGTTACTGTGTTTAATTGAATTATTAAAAGGACACTCTAGGTTTGTTTCTGAAGCTCAGTAATCTATCCTTGGATGAAGATCTGATGCCCCATGACCTGCAAACAGGGGATTATACATACTGTAACAGACATGATTTAAAAACTATCTTCAGCCTGAATGGAAGGACCCTTTATCAGGTACTCTTAACTAGACCATGCACAGCAAAAGCTGAAGGAAACTGACTTTTGGATTAATTTCCAGTCAGAAAGAGCCCCTGCACTGGACTGATCTATAGAGCACTGCTCACCTTAAAACAATGCTCAGATGGAGAAGCTACCAGCCCAGGATGAGAAGATGACATCTGAGGTAGACAGCTGACCCAAGACACTGGACCAGATCTGTATACCAATTACTTTGATAATTGCTCATACCGTTGCTTATGAACTAATCCAACTGTTAGGTTTATGGTCAATTACCTATATCTAGCACTTCTGTGTTACCTTGGTGGGTTTCCCTACTCCAAGGCTCTAACTAGATAGCCCTGAGAAAATTTATTCTAAAAAAATTATAGTTCTATTTAGGCCACTATTGACATTACAAGGTGGGAACCCTCACCTGGCCAATTAATAATACCTGCTCTGAGCCTAGCCATAAATATGAATTTTCTTATAAGATCACTCAAGCTCAACCAAGGCAACAAGCAAAATTTCAGCCAAAGAATATAACCTCCCTCAATTATGGAAAGGACTTATATGGTTAACACCAGGGTATAGACATTTAGGTTTAAAGGCTCTCTTATGTTGGAAAAAATTAAATTATACTAAAGATAACCAACCTAACAACACTAGGAAATTTGGCTGGGAGTCTTACGAACAATGCCTGTATAACGTCTTCCTTAAAGATAAGGACTGATACAAAGCAGACTGTCAGATGACACAGGGATACACTGAGCTGCACCTAATGAAAAATTTTGACTAAAATTCTTACTTATGACCTTACTAATACTTCTAACTATATTATTTGTATTTTGCCTGTTTTACAAAATTGTTGTTTCTTGCATTACCAAATGTATGACTGAGCCTCTGATAAAATAATGATTAGGGAACTTGAAAGAGTAGACAAGATACATACTTCTGTATGAGACCCATGATTGTAATAGTGTGAAGGAAAAGCCGGGCTGGTCTAACAAGATAACTCACAAGTCTAGGAATATGAAGGAGAGGCTGGGCTGGCCTAACAAGATAACTCACAAATCTAAGTATGGGGATACTGATCTGAGTTCTGCTAGACTAACTCATAAATCTAAGTTAGTGTTGGTTTGCTGTTCATGTTTTTTTGCTAGCCAGCTGGATTTTCAAAGAGACATATCTGGCTTTGGAATGTTGGTTTGCTGCCTCCCTGCCTCCACTTTTGTGATAATGACTTTGCTAAAGCTGTTCCATGTCTATTGGCCGAATACCCCAAGCTTGTACTTTACCCTATAAAACCTCATGCGCACGTCTTGGAGGTGCTCAGAGCTTTGGAGCAGAAGCCCCTCTGAGCCCGCCGGCGTAATACATCTGAGTACTCCAACCCTCCGAGTGGTGCTTGTTTCTTGACTGGCCTGTCGTTTCCGTAACATTTCTGGAGGCCCCAGCGAGATACAACCAGGCCGGCCCCTTGAGCCGCTGGACTGGTGGCTCCGGCCAACCAGGGGACAGGATTCCGGCAGCGAACGGGGTGGCACCGCCCGACAGTATTCCGGGTTCTCCTTCGTGATGGCAACTCGGCCCCCCAGGTGGCTGGGCTACAACCAGAGCCAGACTCCACGGAGGGACAGACAGACTCACCAGGTGGCTGTCCGGACAAGGTAGGAACCCCCGGGAGGAATCAGGTCCTGTCCCATTGGACAGAAGAGGAGGCTGATCCCCTCCTACAGGCTCTCCGTCTGATGGTATTTCAGACGGGGAAATCAGGTCAGGAATCAGGTCCCGTCCCAGTGGACAGAAGAGGAGGCGGATCCCCTCCTACAGGAAACAGGATATTGGTATTGGTGGGAGGACTGTTGTTAACCTCTGTGTATGTGTGTGTGTGTGTGTGAGTGAATGAGCGGCCTGTGAAGCATGCGATCAGGCTCGAGTTTGTAGCTCCACGGCG